TCTTAGAAGCAAATTTTTTTTTATTTAAAAATGATGGTGGTGTCAAGTTTCTGTGACGGCTCAGAAAGAAAGATTCCAAAGAGTCAAAGCCCTCAGTTGAGTTTTAGGTCTTTATTTTAGTTTAATTTTGTAAAGGATGAAGTATGACCTTATGATGTAGAAGAGAACTGAGTGACAAGAATTCCTGTGTTATTGTTGATATACTAAGAATATATTTTCATATTGTTTACCATAGTTTTCCAGTGTTTCCAGGATATGCTTAAAAATGTAAATATTGATGTCTTCTTGTTGTTTATTTCTGCACACATCCAGTATATTAAGTTCATACATCAATTTGCAACCTCTTACATTGTTACTTCTCTTGCTGAAAATCTGATGCTGGTTTCAGAATACCTTTTAGCATAAGCAGCAGAACTGCTATAATAGTATTCACATCATTGTGAGAAAACAGAGGTATTGATATTGATTTTTGACCTCTTTAGTTTCTGTTGTATATAAGTAAAAGGCATGTTTACATAGAGGACTTGAAGACATTGGAAGAGAATAGAAGCTTGTTTAGAAAGTAATTATTCAACAAGAAAATACATCCAATGGAGATGTCAAATGGACAGCTAAGTTAAGTAGGTTTCGATCATAGGGACATGATTTGTAATAGATCTTTATGTAGCTTCCTGAATTACAGGTGGTTGTAATGGTAACATAACAGGGGACGTACATTCTGTATCTTGGGGAGAGGGTATAATGTAAGAAGAGGAGAGTGTATAGTATCTAGAACTTTGCAAGATGGGCTTGCAAAGGAGGCAGAGAAGGTTGGTCCAGATTGTTACAGAGACTGATAGAAGAAAATTTCAAGAAAGAAGGAATAGTCAGTTATGCGAGTGCAGAGTACAACTTGAAAGAAAGTGAGTAATGATCATCAGTGTGTCTCAGCCTTCACTATTTTTCCCTTTTTTTTTTTTTTTGGGTCCGGTCATGGGGCCTGAACTCTGGGCCTGGGTGCTGTCCCTCAGCTCTTCAGCTCAAGGCTAGCGCTCTACCACTTGAGCCACAGCACCACTTCGGGCTTTCTTTTCTTTCTTTTTGTTTATGTGGTGCTGAGGAATCGAACCCAGGGCCTCATGCATGCAAGGCAAGCGCTGTACCACTGAGCCACCTTCCTAGCCCCACTATTTTTCCCTTTGTGGAGCATTTTTAACATTTTTTTTTCCACACTTGCCTCCCACTCTCAGTTTTAATACATAGATATAATGTGTTTCTGTTCAATGTATTTTGGCTTTTTGGAGGGTCACAAACTATTGTAATATCTAAAAATTCTTTGTCACCTTAGGGACAATATTGTTCTTATGAGAATATATATGCTAAATGGATTGTGGATTTAGAGCTGTTTGGTGGAATGATCTTAAAGCTCTTTTGGAGTGGATAAGGAAGTGTGGAACTAAAGACAGAAAGTCTAGATAATTTTTTCCTTGTGAGGAGAGGAGTAGCTATGGAGTAGAAGCCATCATTTCTAGGAACTGTCCTGTTACCAAGACCTAAGATATACCTTGAAAAACAATGCTTGTATATTTGCTTAGGTTTTACTGGTAGAGATAATAATTCTTGTAAGAACTTTATATAAAATTGTTTATGCTAGCTAGTGGCTCATGCCTGTAATCCTAGCTACTCAGGAGGTGGAGATCTAAGGATCTTGGTTCAAAGCCAGTCTAGGCAGGAAAGTCCGTGAGACTTTCTCCAATTAACCACTCAAAAATCAGAAGTGGCACTGTGGCTTGAGTGGTAGAGCACTAGCCTTGAGCTGAAGAGCTCAGGGATAGCACCTAAGCCCCATGACCACCACCACCACCACCAAATGTTTATGCTACTTCTTTTAGTACTTGAGCTAACACATTATGAATTTGCGTTTATCTTTTTTGTTATTCATTTTACTCTTTGCATTTCATCATTGAAAAATTCAATTTGATTCATTACATTTGATTTTTATTTATTTATGTTATGAAGTCTGAAGTTATTGAACTTAACGAATTATCAGTGTCCTAAGTACCTTTGTGTGTGTGTGTGTGTGTGTGTGTGTGTGTGTGTGTACCAGTTTTAGGGGGTTTGAACTCGGGGGGTCTCCCGCCCTCGCTTGTCATTTTCACTCAAGGCTGGCATTCTACCACTTTAGTTACACCTCCACTTCCAGCTTTGCCGGTTTATTGAAGTTAAGAGTCTCAGGGAATTGTGTTTCCTGGACTGGCTTCAAACCGCAACCCTTAGACCTCAGCCTCCTGAGTAGCTAGAATTGCAGATATGAGCCATTGAACTAGGCTCTGAGAATACTTTTCTTTTCTTTTTTGTCGGTCGCGGGGCCTGAACTCAGCCTGAGCGCTGCCCCGCAGCTCTTCAGCTCAAGGCTAGCACTCTACCACTAGAGCCACAGTGCCACTTCTGGCTTTTTCTGCTTATTTGGTACTGAAGAATCGAACCCAAGGCCTCATGCATGTGAGGCAAGCACTCTAGCACTGAGCCCAGCCCCTCAGAATACTTTTCTTTACTCTGTTTAGAATAAGATCTCTATGTTGGTAGATCTGTAACTAATAGCTATGATTTTAGGATTATCCTCTAAAGTTTGAATTTAAAGCCAAGTGCCAGTGGCTCTTGCCTATAATCCTAGATTCTCAGGATGCTGAGATCTGAGGAACACAGTTCAAAGCCAGCCTGGACTGGAAAGTCTCTTAGCCTCTTATCTCCAATTAAACCACCCAAGAAAGCTGGAAATGTAGCTGTGGCTCAAGTGCTGGCCTGCTAACCTTAAGCCAAAAAACTCAGGGACAGTGCCTGAGTTCAAGTCCAAGGATTGGCATGGCCTCACACACACACAATCACACACACACTTTTTAAAAAATTCCATCTTTTCCTTAATTCTCTAGCTTATTTGAAGAGAACAATACAAGCATATGTTTTGAAGTCAATTCTGATATACGTATGTGTCTGGTTTTCCTTTTGCCACATTCCTAGTGTGCTGCCTTATATTCCTCTAAATCTTAATATTCAGTCATATAAAAAGATTTCCCTCTGCCCGGGTTGCAATAATGAGATTTCTTACCTCTACCCTATTACAACTTTATGTAACATTTGAGTTTCACTCATACCATAAAAACTATTTTATGCTCTTTGAGAAATACTCAATTTAGATTTACAGTTGTTGCTCAGGAAATACTAGCAAGTGTGAGAGGGCAATTGAAAGAAAACGCTTGTTAAAAGTAACCTTATCTCTCTCCTGGGGCAGCCAGAATATGGATGAATTTAGTCCCACATCTACCATATCCTGCCTGTTTTTCTAGTGCCTGATCTTTCAGCCTTTGTAGATTGGCTTCTAGATTTTAACATTTCCCTGTGTTAATCTAACAGCATGAAAGGTTTAATGCCCCTAGAGTCTGATAGCCTGTCACAAATGGGTAAAAACCTAGAGTTTTTATCAGACCATGCTTTCTTGAAGAAGTAGGAGTGTGAATTGGCCTCATATTACTCTTCAGAAAAAATAGCTAATTTGTTTTGAGTATGTGTTTCTATGTTCTAGGCTCAAATCAGTCATATTCTTTTCTTTTCTTTTTGGTGAGTGGTGGATTTAATTTAGGGCCTTGCAGATGCTAAGCATGCCTCTCACTATTGAGCTACACATGAATCATGAATGTTCCTAATAGCATCCGCAATGGAGAATCCTTTCAGGAGATTTATAATTCACTTTGCCTAGATCCATCAGAGGAATAGCCATGGCAGATATAGTCTTAAAAATGTATTTTAGCTAGGCATGATAGCTCATGTCTATAATCCTTAGCTACTCTGGCTGAGGAGATCAGGAGATCAGATCATGGTTTGAGACCGACTTGGGCAGAAAGCTTATGAGATCCCCATCTCAACCAATAAAGCTGGGCACAGTACTGTGTACTTGTCATCTCAGCTATGCAGGAAGCATAAGTAGGTGGATCATGGTGCAGGCCAGCCCAGATAAAAACACAAGACCCTATTTGAAAAATAAAGCAGAAAGGGCTAGAGCCATAGTTCAAGTGGAAGAGCACCTGCCTCGCAGGTCTAAGACTCCCGTTCAAAACCATAGTAAGGCAAATAAATGGATAAGCAGATTAAACATATGTATGTGTGTTATTTCTTATTGTCTTGAATGGTCCTTCCCCTTGCATATGTGTGTGTGTTCTCTGCTATATACCGGGAGAGATGCTGTCTTGGGTTCTCTCTCTGGCATTCTGATATGTTAAGTGCTGGTTGTCCTCTCTGCACTCGCAGCTTCCTCTCTAATTCAGAATCCACCAGGCTCCACTGGAGCTCTCCCACCTGTGCCACCGCCTGTAAACTTTAAAGACAGCAATATCTGGAAGTTATGGGACTTGGCTTTGTTTCCCATCTGTCAGGGACCACTGCCTTTTGTTGGTTCATGTACAGTGTCTTGAAAACCATTGTTTCTTGTATTTTATCTGATCTAATTTTTTATTATTACTTTTTAAGTTTGGGGATTTTTTTTTTTTTTTGGTTGGTTAAGGTTGTTTCGTTGTTGGGATGGTGGATCTGTTCTTGTTAACTCCATTTTAGAAGCAGAAATCCTAACTACTAGTAGTTTTAACTTGAGAGGGTTTTTGTACTAGAATTTTTACAGAAAAATCTCTTAGGAAGGGTAAACAAAGGAGGAGGCTACAATGCTTGATAAGAAATGTATTCACTATCTCGCCCATGTAATTGTAACCCCTCTGTACAGTATTTTCACAATAAAAAAAAAAAAAGAAAAATCTCTTAAATAGTCACTACTGATTTCTTCTTGAGAAGCTATGTATATAGATAATCATAAGATTAACTCAAATCCGCACAAATTTTTGAAGACATTCTTGGGGTATTAAACTGACTTCCTGATTTCCTTGGTGCTTTATGCATTTCTTGTTATTTGATCTAGAAGCTAATTTTAAAGAACAATTCAATGAAATTCCTCATCATGTTATGATTTTTATCCTCAGAATTAAGAAAAGGAAAGAGCAACAACGTTATGCTGAAGAGCAGAGGATCCTGAGAATGAAATGTCATAAAGAACCACACTCTGCGGAGATGAGTGATCTTTTAGCTCAGTTACAACTTGAAGAAATAAAAGGAGCCAGAGAAAAACAGCAACAGAAAGAAAAAGAATACATCAGGTAATTTGAAACACATTGCATAAAGTTCTGGCTAACTGTAGAGGAGAATTATAGGAAGTTGTTCTTAATTTTCTTAAAAGATACATTGATTGTCTGGGCACCAGTGGCTCATATCTGTAATCCTAGTTACTCAGGAGGCTGAGATTTGAAGAGGGCAAGAAAGTCTGTGGACTCTTACCTCCAATTAACCACAAAAATAGTCAGAAGAGGAGGTGTGGCTCAAGTGCTAGCCTCGAGCACAAAAGGTCAGAGACTACCCAGGCCCTAAGTTCAAGCTCCAGGACCAGCCTCCCCCAAAATGAGGGGGGCGGGGGCTGGGAATGTGGCTTGGTGGAATGCTTGCCTAGCATGCATGAAGCCCTGGAGCCCTGGGTTTAATTCCTCAGTACCACATAAACAGAAAAGGCCAGAAGTGGCACTATGGCTCAAGTGGTAGAATGCTAGCTTTGAGCAAAAGCAGCTCAGGGACAGTGCCCAGGCCCTGAGTTCAAGCCCCAGGACTGGCAAAAAAAAAAAAAAGATTGACTGTGTCATATTGTTCCTCCTTTGGGGACATACAACTTTGACAAATGTACTGATTGGCTAATTCCTCTTGGGAATAGCGCTGCATGTTCCTTCGTGCTGTTTCCAAGTGCAAAGAGGAGGAATCAAGGTGCAGGGATAAGAACTAGTTTTAACAGTTAAAGCTGGTTTAAAGCAAGATTCATGTTTACTTTTTGCCTGTTCATGTTCACTTTACCTCAACATAGTCTATTTTTCTAGATATGTGGAAGCTTTACGAGCCCAGGTCAAGGAGAAAATGAAGCTGTACAATATCACTTTACCTCCGTTATGCTGTTGTGGTCCTGATTTTTGGGATGCTCATCCTGATACCTGTGCCAACAATTGTATTTTCTATAAAAATCACAGAGGTAAATTTCTTGAAAGAATAGATGGGATCTAATAGCAATGTAGAAAAAAAATTAGAGTAGTGACTGTGGTAATTTAATGTTTACAAAGTACTTAATATATATTAGTGAATTTACTGATAATCTCGTTACAAAATAATTATTTGCTTTGTAATCCTAGCTACTCAGGAGGCTGAGATCTGAGGATCACAGTTGAAAGCCAGCCCAGACAGAAAAGTCCTTGTGAGATTCTTTTTTTTTTTTTTTTTGTCGGTCATGGGGCTTGAACTCTGGGCCTGGACACTGTCTCTCAGCTCTTCAGGGTTAGCACTATACCACTTGAGCCACAGCACCTCTTCCGGTTTTCTGAGTGGTTTATTGGAGATAACAGTCTCTCGGACTTTCCTTCCCGGGCTGCCTTTGAACCACGATCCTCAGATCTCAACCTTCTGAGTACCTAGAATTACAGGCGTGAGCCACCAGCACCTGGCTTCCCTCTGAGACTTTTATCTCCAATTAACCACTCAAAAACCAGAAGTGGCTCTGTGGCTCAAGTGGTAGAGCCCTAGCCTTGAGCAAAAAAGCTCAGGGACAGTGCCCAGGCCCTGAGTTCAAGCCCCACAACCAACAAAAACAAGCAGTTATTTGAGTGATAATTATTACAGTGAATTTTCTTTTCTCCTTGAGTCTTGTCATCATCTTGTCCCCATTTAGAGTGGAAAATAGTTCCAACTCATTCCATTGTAATTGTTTTTTAACTCGAGTACAAAAGAGTTTTTGGGTGTTTCTTTTGTGCTGGTACTGGGGCTTGAGCTCAGGGCCTGAGAGCTGTCCCTGAGCTTCTTTTTTGCTCAAGGCTCACGCTCTACCACTTGAGCCACAGCTCCACTTCCAGCTTTTTCTATGATTAATTAGGGATAAGAGTCTCATGGATGTTTCTGCCCGGGCTGGCATCAAATCTGAATTCTCAGATCTCAACCTCCTCAATAGCTAGGATTACAGATATGAACTACTGACACCAAGCTTAGAGGATAAAAGTTTGATTCTTGTGTTCATCTAAGTTAGCACTCTGTCTTCTAGTTGAATCCTCTGATTTCTACATACTTTATGTTACCTAATACAGACTCATTATCATATACATTCATATTAGACTGCTAACCAGTTCTGCTGGGACAGTGAGGCAAATGAGGAAGTCTGTTAGAAGTCACAGTAGGACCAAATAAGAGTCCTTCCTATTGTCACTAATGTTTCTTGCTCATCTACTGACTTATAGAGTGCACAGGTTCAGTAAGCACATGTAGGCCTCATGTACATACTGAAAATACTGCCAGTATTTAAATTCCTAGTATTCCTCACCTGTATGGAATGAGTCAGTCCTGTAAGTTATTTTAAAAGCACAAAGCTCACATTAATTTCCCTATTCTAAAGCCTTTAAGCTCTTATGACAGTATAAAATGCATAGCGTATTTTCTGTGTCCTTAGGCCATACTTTAGCTTTACCAAACTTACTGTTTCCATTTGTCATACTTTTGAACACCCTTTATACCTCATATATACCTAGGCCTTCTTTAGGACCATTAATCCTTCAGGGCCCACCTTAAATGGTACTGCTGAGAATGTATGCTCCCTCCTCAGTTACTCTGTTCATTTCTGACTTCACTCTGTGATGACATGGTCTATATGCCTGGAGGCTGGAAGTACTATACTAAGACTTAATTTTTTTGTGTGTCTCTGCTCTCCGTTCTCTTGTCATGTTGTAAGTACTAGATGAATATTTATTCACTGGTTAAAGTTAATACCTATGAAATTCTGGGTAGAGAAGTAGTACTAATAGACAAGTGGGTAATCGAGTTGATTAGAATTTGACTTTATTCATCACTGTGGAAACCTTTATTTGCAGCATATAATCGGGCATTATATTCAGTCATCAATTCTGCAGATATCTCTGAGGGGAACTCAACTCTTCGAAGTGCCATTCGTAATTTTGCTTCTGCAAACAGATGGACTTTGAAAAGAATCTCTAATAAGAATCTGAAGTCAGCTGAAACATCAAGTAGTATTTCAGCCTCCTCCTAAATTCATCTCTGAGAAATTACCGAGAAAAACTGTAAAGTGTATAAGGTGTTGTATCTGGAAAGAAATACTGTTGTACATAGTAATTATCTTTATAATTAGATATCTGCTTTGGGACCAAGACTGAAAATTGACTCACACTTGTCTCTTTTTTGATCAGACAGGTAAGGTTTCTCTTATCTTGCTCTGATCAGAGGACCTTATGAGAAATCTTTCTAAAACTGTCTTGAGCTTTGACAATGTTGAAAATGTCTGGCTAAAGCAAAAAAAAAAAAATGATGAAATGGGTTTCTGAGCTGTTGGCTTTCCCAATTTTATGTAACAGTTTGAATTTGGTATATATTTCCTTCTCAAAACTTTCTCTCCTTTTTTTTATTTTTTAATTTATTGACTCTTTCCCCTTTCAGTGAAGTGAACCTCAGGGTCTTTTTTTAATATATTTTTTAATTGTAAAAAGTCAAATAAATCCTCTATCTTTTGCATATCTTTTATGTGAAATAATTGTGAGATTTCAAAAAATGAGTTAGGAAGCTTTATTTCTCTTTCTTAAAAATCTGGTGAACTTGGATCAAATCAAGTAAGAATTGCCACAATTAGTATGGATTTATTATTTTTTCAACCATTTCCAGACACAGAATGTGTAAAGGTGTTTAATATTATAAATTAAAGATAGGTACTAACAGTTTCTTCTTACTATTTTCTCTAATGTCCAGTAGTAAAGAAGTACTTAAGTTGAGGGTTGGGAAGGTAGCTCAGTGGTAGAGCGCTTGCCTTGCATGCCTGAGGCCCTGGGTTTGATTCCTCAGCACCACATAAGCAAAAAGCCGGAAGTGGTACTGTGGCTCAAGTGGTAGGGTGCTAGCCTTGAACTGAAGAGCTGAAGGACAGCATCCAGGCCCAGAGTTCAGGCCCTACAACCGGACCCCCCCCCCCCCCCCGCCCAAAAAAAAAAAAGTACTTAAGGTGAATCTCAAAAAATGCCTACCTGGGCACCGGTAGCTCAGGACTGCAATCCTAGCTAGTCAGGCACCTGAGATCAGAGGATTGCGTTCAAAGCCAGCCCTGGCAAGAAAGTTCTTGAGACTCTTATCTCCAGTAAACTACCAGAAAACCAGAAGTGGCACTGTGGCTCAAGTGGTAGAATGCTAGCTTTGAGCTGAAGAGCTGAGTGACAGCACTCAGGCCCAGAGTTCAAGCCCCACAACTGGGGGGGAAAAAAAGCCTAAACTTCTACACAAGTCATTTGAACGAAAGAGTCAAAATTACCTGAATGGCAAGATTGTCTGGTTATTAACTGTATTATCTTGTGAGGTCAAAATCCTTAAAGTAATTATAAATTTAATACATTTTTTAGAGAGTTGTATTTTTAGTGTTCTATTGAAATAATTCACATATGACACAGTTCACTCATTTAAAATGAGTGAGTAGTTTTTAGTATATTCACAGGGTTGTACAACCTTTACCACTATTACATTTTCACTACTAAAAAAAAAGCTCCATTATCTAGCAAGATTTGAAGCAGATACTGTGTGGCCATATTCATAATAGCATTCTTCATAATAGCTAAAAGGTGGACATACCCCAAGTATCCATCAGTAAATAAATGGATAAACAAAATATGGAGCATACTTACAAGAGAATAGTTTTCAGACTTAAAAAGGAAGGAAATCTTATTGTATGTTAAAACATTATGCTAAGTGAAATCTGTTAGTTCCAAGAACACAAATATTGTATGATTCCACTCATTTAAACTGCAAAAAGTAGACTTAGAGAGAGAGAAAGTAAAATGCTGGAGTTAGGAGGAAATAAGGCGTTATCATTTAATGTGTATAGAGGTCCATTTTATTGGATGAAACAGTGTGAATATTTGACACTAGGGACTGAACTGTACACTTGAAAATTATTAAAATGGCAAATTTTTGGTTATGTGTTTTTCACCATAGTCAAACCTTTTTAAAAATTAAGAATGCAATGAATGTATCAGTACCCATTCTACCCCTGAAACTCACTTCCAGCTCTTAACACCCACTAAACTATTTTCTGTATCTATACCTATGTATATAGAACTTGTAATGGCCAGATCTTGTAAATGGAATGTGAAAATGTGATCTCTTTTGACTTTTTTATTTTCATACAGCCTCATGTTAAGGTTCAACCATGTTACAACATGTATCAATACTTCATTGGTTTTTACTGTTGAGCAATATAACATTCTATGGATAGACATTTTATCTATTCATCAGGTAGTGGACATTTGAGTTGCTTCTATTACTTGGTATTATGAGTATTGCTATGAGCAATTGTTTGGGATTTTCTGTAGATACATAGCTTGATTTCTTGGGCATATACCTAGAAATAGAATTGCTGGGTTATATAGTAGTTCAATGCTTAATGCCCTCCTGAGAAAATGCAAACTTTTTCAAACACCAAAATTTAGAGTAAAGATTCAAATTCACATCTTCACCAATACTGGTTTATTTCCTGTCTCTGACTGTAGCCATCCTAGTAGTTGTGACCCAGTGCCTTATTGTGCTTTGAATTTGCATTTTCTTGATGGCTTTTGATGTTGAACATTTTTTCAGGTGATTGCATGAGTACTTGCCTAATAAGTACAAGACCCTGAGTTCAGTCTTCAGTACACTAAAAAATAGACAAACAGACAGATAGATAGATATTAGGATAGATAAAAATTAAAAGAAATAAGCCAAGTGGAAACCCTTGTGATTTTTTTTTTTTTTAAGGAGCAATCATTGAGTTTATACCCTTTCTCAGGTTGATGAAATTGCCTTCGTTTACTAGTTTATTTTTATTGTTGTTGTTGTTTGCCATTTGTTTTGTTTGTGCCTTTGTGGTAATAAGGCTTGTACTAAGAGCCTGGTGTCTGTCCCTTAGGTTTTTTGCTCAAGGCTAGTGCTCTACCACTTGAGTCATAGCACCACTTGTCTTTTTGGTGGTTAATTGGATATGAATCTCAGGGACTGCTACGTTCGAGATGAGAGGAACAATTAAATTTGGATCTAGAATTTGCTTGCCTAGCATATGTTAATCCCTGGATCCAATGCCCAGCAAGAAAGGCAAGGAGGGAGAGAGGAGAAAGGGCATTTCGACCAAATAAGAATGGAAACTTTGGAAGTGGCGCTGTAGCTCAAGTGGTAGAGCGCTCACCTTGAGTTGAAGAGCTGAGGGACAACGCCCAGGCCCAGAGTTCAAGCCCCACGACCGACAAAAAAAATAAAAATAAAAAGAGAATGGAAACTTTCCTTAAGGACTGATTTGTTTACTCTCCTCAGATTTCCTATTGGCTTTTCCTTTTTCTCACTTTCAGATGGTGATGTGGCCTTCATCAATAAGACAACAAATAGGCAAATTGGACCTCGCACAAGTTCCCACCATCATACCTATCACCTATTTATATCTGTTCAGTGGTATTACTATAGAAGAACTCTTTGTTCTGTCTTGGCCTACTTTAACTGATGGTTAGATTCAATTCCCTCCTACCTACTTAAGAATGTTGCCTCAACATTTCTCTTTTCTGCATCATTAATTATTCCCTACTAGACTGTCTCTATCATTATACCAACCTGTTGTAACAACTCCTCTACCTTTATAATCAAATAACCCAACCCCCCAAATGAAAACATTACCTTTCTTTACCACACACCCTTTCAGCTATCACTAAATGTCTTTGCTTCCTTTTTATAACAAAACTCCTTGAGTTTTCTGTACTTCCTACTTCTGTTCATTCTCTTGACTGTATTTTAGTAAGACCATTGGTCTTCACAACTCTATTGAAAATACTCTTTTCAAGCGAGGCATGCTGCCACACACCTGTAATCTCAGCACTTGGGATTCGTGAAGACCAAGAGCTCTAATATCATGATTAAACAACAAAACATGATCAAACCAAAAGACTACTTAAGGTGACTTCAACATTGCTAAATCCAATTGTCATTCTCAGACTTCATCTTACTTCGCTGACAAAATTAAACACACTTGATCTGTCTTTTCCCTTGAAAGTATACTAGCACTTAGCTTCTGCACTACCAGAGCTTTTGATCTCCCTCCCAACTTCAACTGGCCATTACTTCCCAGTTTCTTCTCCTTACCCCCATCTCTGATCTCAATATAGTGTCCCACAGCTTAGTCCTTGGATTTCTTTCCCATCTTTTCTTTTGCTCTTTTTCTAGTCTCATGGCTTTAAATATCATCTGTATAAGGATAACTCAAATTTATTTCTCGGACTTTGACCTTTCCTCTATACTCCAGATTTATAACTCATAGAGCCTAGTTGACATTTCTGCAAAGTTAGTTTCCTTCACATTTGTACTTCCTACAGTCTTGCCCATGTCAGTTAGCCCAGCAGTTCCAGCTGTTAGTGAGACCCAAAACCTTGTATGGACCAGTGATTCTTTTTTTGTCTTGTCCTTCATCACTCCATCAGCAAATTTTGAGTATCCCTACATTTCACATCTTCACTGCCAGATACCTGATCCAAATTACCTCTTTTCTCATAGATTATTAGGTTTTCTAAGTAATCACTCTGCTTACACCTGGCATATTTTCTCAGAAGCTGAATTTAACATCCAAACCAATCTTATGCTCTCTATTCCTTCATCTAATAATCCAGTAAGTAATTCATTTATTGGCCGGGCACCAGTGGCTCATGCCTGTAATCCTAGCTACTCAAGAGGCTGAGATCTGAGGATCACTAATTCAAAGCCAGCCCAGGCACAAAAGTCCTTGAGACTCTTATCTCCAGTTAATCACCAGAAAACTGGAAGTGGTACTATGGCTCAAGTGGTAGACCTCTCACCTTGAGCTGAAGACCTAAGGGACAGTGCCCAGCCCCAGAGTTCGAGCCCGATGACAGACAAAACAAAACAAAACAAAAAAATATATATATATATACACATATATACATATATATATATGTGTGTATACACACACACACACGCACACATATATGCGGAGTCTGTTGACTTTTCCTTGAAAGCACAATCAAAATGAATCTGCTTTTCATGACTAACCCTGCTACAACCATGATCTAAATTGTGTGCCTCACCTAAGTTACTGCATTAGCTCCCTTCTGATTTTCTTCCTTCTATATTTGCCCATTATAGATTGTTCTTAGCACAGCACTCAGAGAGCAGTCCTTCAGAATAAGATCACATGCCACTCTGCCTCAAACTTCCTTTTTGCTACTCATCTTACTCAGGAAAAGCTGGAGTCCTTACAAAATTTGATCCTGGGGGCTGGGAATGTGGCTTAGTAGTAGTAGTAGTAGAGTGCTTGCCTAGCTTGTATGAAGCTCAGGGTTCCAGAAGTGGCACTGTGGCTCAAGTGGTAGAGTACTTAGCCTTAAACAAAAAGAAGCTCAGGACAATGCCCAGCCCCCAAGTTCAAGCCCCAGGACTGGGGAAAAAAACAAAATCTGACCCTGATTTCTTTTGAAGCCTTATGTTCTGCAATTTCTTGCAGAATTCTTGCTCGTTCTTTTTTTTTTTTGGTCGGTCATGGGGCTTGAACTCTGGGTTTGGGTGCTGTCCCTGTGCTCTTCAGCTCAAGGTGAGTGCTCTATCACTTGAGCCACAGCACCACTTCCAGTTTTGTAGTGGTTAATTGGAGATAAGAGTCTCACAGACTTTTCTGCTAGGGTTGGCTTTGAACCGTGATCCTCAGATCTCAGCCTCCTCAGTAGCTACGATTACAGGCATGAGCCACTGGTGCCCAGTTTCTTGCTCATTCTTATCTGCCACTTTGACCTGGAATAGTTTCACTTTAAGACCTTTCCATATACTACTTGTGTATATGTGTAGCATATGTGTGCGTGCGTGCATGTGCTGTTACTGGAGCTTGAACTCAGGATCTCACTCTCCCTTAGCTTTTTCAACTTAAGGCTGGTGCTCTACCACTTCAGCCACACCTCCATTTTCCAGCATTTTGCTGGTTAATTGGAGATACTCTCATGGACTTTTCTACTTGGGCTTGCTTTGAACCTCAGTCCTCAGATCTCAGCCTGAATAGCTAGGATTACAGGTGTGAGCCGCCAGTGTCTGGCTCCATTGTATTTGAAAAATGTGAGCTTCCCACACACTCCCCAATGCAAGCAATCCCTATCTCCTTTTCCACTTTTTGTTCATGACGTTCATTTATATCTGTAGAGCATACATATTTAATTAGTGACTATTTTTTTCTCTTCCTAAATTGCCTAGTCCCTGAAGGGACTTTTTTGTCTGGTTCTGTTCAGTGCATATTCAGTGTGAAGGCTATGCCTCACAATCAATGACATGATTCCTTTTCCCAGTAATCAATTCACAGAATCAAAATGATAATAGATATGATCTAGAGCTTTCCCCAGCTTTCTATAGATAATATGTGATCAGGACAGTTGGGACCTCTCTAAAAATCAGTAGTAATTCTATATAATTAGTTGTGTTCCCTAATGGTTGTAATCTTTCTTCAGAAAGGCTGTTAGGAATCATTTTGCTTTGCTTTCTATTCTCTCATTGCCGCTGTTGATTTAGGGCAAACAATGTCTTTGGGCAATACTTTTCTCATCTGTAAAATAAGAGGTTTATACCTCTTAACATTCTAGGAATTTTTAATTATGTTTTATACCTTTGACTCACATTTTTCAGTTTATTTCTCTTCTTGGACTAGTGGTAGGTTTCCTTGTGTTCTTTCTCCTCTCCTGTGACTCCAACACTGATCATATCAGAGTAGATCAACTTCTATGGGTTCAGGTAGAACAAGAAGGCAGAACAGAAGGGCATGGAGAGCATAGGTAAGAGTTAAGAGGGGCACAACTCCTTGAAAACTCAGATTTACCTCTTAGCCACAAGGGAACTTATTCATTTCCAGAGCCCATATCAGGTGATGGAGTCATGTATATGATGGAGACAGATTTAGGATTGTGACAGTAGCAAGAATACCAGTTTTCTGTACTAACAACCATCAAAACCATGTAGGATCCGTTTGCCAATCCAGTCCAACCTGAATCATGTTGTTCTAGTTGCTTTGATTTGGGAAACTTGTGCGTCCTCTCCCTTGGGTTGTTTCAGTATATTACTTAATTATCTAGGCCTCACCCTTACCTGTCTAGGTGTTTTATAATAGGCAGAAGTGAGACTGTGAACAATTAGGTGCAGACTAGAAGCTTCTGCTTGCTTATCATCTTATCATTTAAGGTGTAATAAAGGGTAGATAATATTTTTCTCTATTTACTTATACTCCACTTTTGGCAGTAAGGTATTTCCTATGATTTCTCTTTTAAGTGTACTGAGTATAATGTGCTTGGTGGCCAATCACTGATATTTTTGAGACTTTTTTTTTTAAGACAAAAAGCATTTGAGCAATTTGGAAATAAAGAGGTCAAAAACAAGTGTCCCCAGGGCATCCTGAATCCTTTCTGCTGGTGAAAGATTATAAATATGTTGATTTAAGTCTTTAAAGCTTTCTTGAGGTGGGAATGAACTGTTAAGGGAAGGTGTCAAGGAGAACACATCAAATTGGTTCTTTTTGATTAAGGCAGTTCAGTGTTTATCTCATGAGTCATCTCTTCCAACGTCTGAAGATGACATCGCTCTCGTTAAAAGTTTTCATTCAGTTCTTGTCATAGACACACAAAAACAGCTATCACATCATTAATGGCTAAACCTACTAGATAAGGTCATTCTCTGAACTCACTAATCCATCCTAGCATCACTAGAAAAGAAGCAGTTACTGTGTACCTCCTGCCTTCAATAAACTGGTTTTGCCCCCCCCAAAAGGTTGCAACTGAATATGCTCAACCCTTTAAGCTAACTTTCTTTTTTTCCTTCCTTTTTCTTGATGGTACTGGAATTTGAACTCAGGGCCTTGCCTGCTACCAGCGCTTTTTTGCTTTAGTTAATTTTTGAATAGGGTCTTGTGTTTTGCCTGGCCAGTTGGGATTATAATCCTTTTATTTACACCACCTGAGTCACTGGGATGGCATACATGTGTGCTGCTTTATTGGCTGAGATAAAGCCTCACCAACTTCTTGCCTGAGCGGGTCTTGAACCATGATCCTCCCAAGCTCAGCCCCCCGAAGTAACTGGGAATTCAGATATAAGCCACCATGCCTGGTTTTTCAGCCTTTTAAAAATAGATTCTGGAAGAAAATTAAGCCCTA